GTGGGAAAAGAGGACGCATCTGGAGGGGATGAGAAGTGGAGAGTGTTTTTTTTCCAGCTGGTACACAAACACAAGCATAATAGTTGAGGAATGGGGGCAGATCTATAACCAGGATAGGAAAAGCAGAGCTTGGCTACAGGGCATTATTGAATTTAGAGGGCACCTAATTGATCACAATAATATGTGTGTGAGGTGGGGAGAGACATACATATGGAGGATGGTAAAAGTTGTCAAGACTTCCAGTACTCAGTTCCTCTGGCAAATGTGGTTTTTTTGCCACTGAAGGTACCACAGGGTCTGGGATGTTGGAGTTGGCCATTACCTCTTTGCCAAGCATAGCTTTAATACCCAAGAGCCTCTCAACCAAGTCAGGCTAAGAGTGGGATTCTGAGCATGGGAGTTAATTAATAGGCCTGCAATCTTCTTTTTTTTTATAACATTATTCTTTTTTTTTAATTTTTTTTTTTTTCAGGTAGGCAATGGGGTTAAGTGACTTGCCCAGGGTCACACAGCTAGTAAGTATCAAGTGTCTAAGGTCAGATTTGAACTCAGGTCCTCCTGACTCCAAGGCCAGAACTCTATCCACTGGGCCACCTAGCTGCCTCTTTTTAAAAAAAAAAAATTTTTTTTTTTGGCTTTTTTCTTTTTGGTGAGGCAATTGGGGTTAAGTGATTTGCCCAGGGTCACACAGCTAGTAAGTGTCAAGTGTCTGAGGCCAAATTTAAACTCAGGTCCTCCTGACTCCAAGATTAGGAGGCCTGCAATCTTAAACCTTTCATATGAAGGACAAGCTGGGTAACTCAGCACAGGGGTAGGGATGGGCAGGGATGAACTTAGGCTTGTCCTGTCCCTTCAGAAGGGCCTGGGCAGTCAGTTACCCTACCTTCTCTGCCCCCAGCTGGCCTGAGTTAGTAACCTGGGTTGGCCAAGGGGCCAACCTAACTTTGGCCATAGAAGTGGTATGACTGCCCTGCTTAGTGGCAAGAAGGAGGGGGCATCCTTTGGGGACAAGTGCTTTAAGCTCCTGCTCTCTTGCCTAAAGAGTTCTGTGCCCATTCCTGCTCTGGATATCCCTGAAGATTGGGTGAATGAAATAGGTTCTCAGTCTTTTGCCACCACTTCATTTCCCTGATCCTTCCCCTCCCTCCCTCCATCCCTACTCCCAACCATTAGGGCATTTATCTACTTGGCCTAAATCAGGTCTACAAGTAGGCTCCTGTTCCCATTGCCTTTGAATCTCCTGGGAGGTTCCAGTCCTTTGCCATCTCTTGCCCGGGGCCAGGCTCACCCATCAACATCATCATCATCAACTGTCCAGGCTTAAGCCTGCCTGTGGACAGGAATGGTGATGATGGAGGGGAGAGGACTGACTTTCTTCCCCCTCCCCCTCAGATATCTCAGTTTTTGCTTGGCCTTGTATAGCCTACGTAGCACCTCAACTCAACATGTCTTAACCGGAATTCCTAATCTTCCTCCTAAACATACTACCCTACAAACTTTCCTATCTCTATCGAGGAAACTGCCACCCTTCCAGTCATCTAGGTTCACCACCTCAGTCATCCTTGACTTTTCACTTTCACTCAACCCCTACATCCAATCAGTTGCCAAGTCTCATGAATTTTCTTCCTCAACATCTCCTGAATCGATTCTCTTATTTCCACTAATAGCCACCACTCTACTTCAAGTCCTTATCGCTTCATTCTTGAACTATTTTAATAGCTTTATTGGTCTTCTTGCATCCAGTCTTTCCTTTCTCTAATCCATTTTTCTCACAGCTGCCCAAATAATTTTCCTAAGGTACAGTTCTGGCTATCACCTCTCTTGTTCAAAACCCAGGAATACATTTCCCAACTATTCCCCTCTGAAACTTTATCTTCTTTCAAAGTTCAGCTCAGATACCTCCTTCCTGAAACCTTCCCTAACTCCTTTCTCAAATCACCTTGAATTTAATATTTACATGTATGCTTTAGTTGAATGTAAGTTCTCTGAAGGCAGGGACTATTTTCTTCATCACTGTCAAATCTCAGCTAAAATACCACCGAAACCATCCCCACCCCTCCACATGCCCCCCCTCCCCCGCCCCCGGCCTAAAGCCTACTGGTATGGGACTCTCTTTATTGGTAGAGATGAATGCCCTTCTCTACCTTGCATGAGGTGCAGGGTAGATCTGTCAGGAGGTGAGGGAGCTCCAGGCTTTGTCAGTGCCCCTTTGGGAACTCATCATGCTGGTTCACCCAGCTTCCAACTTTGAGAGAGAAGATGGAAGAGGCCAACTCTACTTCAGGTTGCTGAAGGAAAAGACTCTGGGAAGACATGAAAGGAGCAAGTAGTTTCCATCATGTCCCTATTCCCAACTTGCTACTCTAGAGACTTTGGAGAGTTTCCCCTTGGGTGAGATCCAAGACCCTCTCTCAACTGAGCTGGTTTACCTCATTCCCAATGGGACAGCTCCTTCAATCTGTATTGTCTGGTATATGTTCTCCTATGTGTACATTCTCTGATTTCTGTCTTGTTATGATTTGTATAAATGGGTTTCTTTGTTATTTTCTATGTGTGTTCATTGTGGAAATAGTATTAGGTGGGAAAAGGTTCAAGCCTTGGTTATAGAGCTTGGGGTCCCCATTCCCACCAAAATGACAAAGTGATCAAAAGTTAAATGGAACTCAGTCATACCCCCTAAATGAACAATATTTAAAGAAACAAAAAATATATTTCTAGCCTGGTACTCCCTCTTTCTGAGGACAGGAGATTGGCTTCCAGCCTCAATCTCCTGCTTCCCCTCCTAGAAGGAATGAAAGTCTCCCTTGAAGAAGGGATGGGGGGACAAGAGGCTGGAGATGTCTCTTCTGCCCCCCTTTGAGCCACACAAGGACAAGTCCTTGCCACTGGTGGGTCTCTCTCTATATCTGGGGGTGTTCCATACACTATCTTCTGCAAGAAGCCTTTCTTCCTTAACCTTAGCGTATCCCCTCTGAGGTTATCTCCAATTTGTCCTGGATATGTTTTGTTTGTACATACTTGTCTGCATGCACGTTAGACTGAGCTCCTTTAGGGCAGGGACATCTTTAGTCTTTCTCTGTATCACCACTGCGCTCAGCATAGTGCCTGGTACATAGTAGGCACTAAATACATGCTATTAATATATAATGGGTAATACAGTGCCTAGCATAATATTGCACATAGTAAGAATACTTTCTGAATTGAATGTTCACAGTGAGAGTTGTATGTATGGGCACGACGACAAATTCATATATACCTGCCACTAACTTTATTTGTGGCATTGGGTAAGTTATGTTTACACATCTGAGGGCACTTCTGGCCATACGTGCACAGGAGAGGTTTTAGGCTCTCTACCTTCATCCAAGTCCCTTGAATTTGACCCCAGCAACACTGGGAGAGGCAATAAAGACTAGCAGAAAAATGCTGGATTTGGAGTCAGCTGACCTAGTTCTTAGTTCTGCCATTTACCCCTTTTGTGACTTTGGGGCAGACACTTAACTTCTTTGGGACTCAGTTTCCTCATCTGTAAAATGACTAGATGAACTTCTAAGGCCCCTTTCAGCCTCTAAATCTGTGATGAAGAATGAATATAAGAGAGGCCTCAGCTTTCTGCCCTATCCCCACCTGTACTAACGCCTCCTAAATGGTCTCTTTCATCCCGTTCCTTCCCTCTCCAATACATCTTCCACACAGTTGCCAAAATAATCTTCCTAAAGTATGATCTTACTGTTCTTTCCCTTGCTCAAGAATATTCAGTGGTTTCCTTCTGCTCCTAGAATAAAACAAAACTCCCTGTTTTACTTTTGATTTATTTATTTTTTGCTAGGCAATAGGATTAAATGACTTGCCCAGGATCACACTGCTAGTAAATGTCAAGTGTCTGAGGCTGAATTTGAACTCAGGTCCTCTGACTCCAAGGCCAGAGCTCTATCCACTTTGTCACCTAGCTGCTCCTCCCCCCATTTTACTTTTAAAAAAAAATAGTATTTTATTTTTTCCAATTACTGTAAAGACAATTTTAAGGGCCAATTAAAAAAATTTGAGTTCCAATTTTTTCTCCCTCCCTCCCCTTTCCTCTTCCTAAAACTAAGCAATTTGATATGGGTTGTATATGTACAATCATGTAAAACATTTCCATACTAGTCATGCTGTGAAAGAAGAAATAGAGCAAAAGGAAACACACACACACACACACACACCTCTGGAAACAGTATGCTTCAATATGCATTCAGACTCCATCAGTTCTTTTCCATCAGAGGTCCTTTGGAATTGTCTTGGATCATGTATTACTGAAAAGAGCTAAGTCATTCACCGAACAATGCTGCTGTTACTGCATACGATGTTCTCCTGGTTCTGCTCATTTCACCCTGTTTTACTTTATAAGCTCTTCACAATCTGTCCACCTTTCCAGGCTCATTTCACATTATTCCCCTTCTTGCACTCTACAGTTTAACCTAACTGGTTTATTTGCTGTTCCCCCAACTTGGTATCCCATCTCCCACCTCCATGTCTTTGCACAGGATTACACTTCTTACCATCCTCTGACTTCCTTCAAGCCTTCCTCTAACTGTCACCTTTCCTGACCCCTCCCTCCCCTTTTACCTGTTGTATCCTCCTTAACAACTGGGAATGTTTTTCACTGTCCTTTCCAAACCCAGCACAGAGGACATGGCTTTTCACCAAGCAGGTTCTTGATAAATGCTTGGAAGCGACCTCATGATCCGTTCTATGATTTATCCCTCTTCTTTCCCCCTTCTTTTCTAGATGCAAAACCTCCCAGTTACGGCTCTGGGGTAGGGATGGGGGCGTAGAATGGCAGGGGGCAGAACTCAGGGAGTGTTTGTAGTCTGCAGAACGGGAAACCTCTCCCAACATGGGCACAGCTTTGGGCAATTGCGCTTTTGGCGCAGCAAGTCCCTTCTCGCGGCCCTTAGCCCCGGTCCTGTCTCCTTGGAAACGCCAGCTAACGTAGGCAACGCTTAGAGAGAAGAGCCTGCGCCATGCAGCCACAAGAAAAGTGAGCAAACTGGCGTTCTGGTCTCCTCCACTAGCTTAGGCCTCCCGAGCTGCCGCCGCCGAATCTGCCGCGGGCTACAACGCGCCGCCTCAACCCACACGGCCCCGCGGACACGAGGCCACCTCTGCCTCCCCCGCTCCCTCCCGTACCCCTCTTCATTCTAACCTGCGGAGAGGGAGGGGCGCTTATGGGCGAGTGCGCTTGCGCAGAACTCCCGCCATTCTTTCCTACCTCTGCTTCCAAAGCGCTGAGCATCCCTAGGTGCACTTCGGCAACCAGGGCTCCACCCAGGGGTAGAGCGCATGCTCCCGGCTGAGCCCCCGCCCCCTAGTTCACAAGCACTTTGCAGAAGGGCTGGGGAGAGGAAAAAGGCGCGTTCGCACGGCCTCGCCCATTCTCTCCCAGCCCCCTCTCCCCTCTCAGCCACACGGTGGCACTCAGTCTCTTCAGTCTCCGTTTGCCAAGGGTTCGGATCCTGGGTCCGCCCCATGAGCCTGAAACGCCAGTCTTTGCCTGGGAAGGAGCAGTTATTTTTGGACACTTGTCTGCTGCCTATGGTAGCTGATTGTCTCATATGGGTTTCTTTGCTCTTTTCAGAAAGGAAGCTCACTTCATCACTAGAATCCCCAAATACTATCCCGTGGTGAGTTCGGGGTCTGACTGCTGTGGAGTGGTCAGTGGGAACGACCAGGGAGGTTGTAATGCCCCAAATTCTGACCCAAAAAGTCATACCTGGCCCCATTCACCATCCCAACCTAAAATGCTTTCCTCCCTTACTCACTTAAAGTCTACACCCACCTTGTCCTCATTGCAGGTTCCACTAGATCCAGCTCCTATCTTACCTCTTCCCAGAAGCCTTCCCTGAACTTCCTCTGAGCCCTGACATAGAGTCCAGACCAGGCTTCAACCTTTGATGACTCTGTTTCATGAGTGGGATTGGGTGGAATGGGAAGAGCACTGGGTCTGGAGCCAGAGGGCTGGAGTTCAAATCTTGGCTCTGCCTTCCTAGCTGTAGACCTTGAACAAGTCTCAGCTTCAACCAAAGGGGTATCTTTGTAAAAATAGGGGGATTGGCTAGATGAGTTCTAGTTCAGACTGTATGCAACTCCCTATGGCGTTCTTTTCTCACTGGCTAGGCTGGATTTGAAGAGCGAATGGATTCTTCTGGTTCTTTGTGTTCACCTATTCACCCTAGCTGGGCATGGGCATAATTCTGGATGGAATGCTTGACACCTTTTTTGAGATCCTTTTTTTTAATAGTATTTTATTTTTTCCAATTACATGTAAAGATAATTTTCAACACTCATTTTTTGAAAGATTTTGAGTTTCAAATTCTCCTCCCTCTGTCCTCTCCCCTCTCTCCAATATGATATAGGTTATGTGTGTGCAATCATATAAAGCGTATTTCCACATTAGCTTGACACGTTTGTTTATTGCCTTCTTTCCCACCTGGAAATTAGGATTATAACCAGTGGCAGCAGTCAAAGAAGAAGCCCAGGTTGAACCTTCCTCAGATTAAAGTTGCCTCAGGAAATTGGATGTCAAGGAGGAAGGCCAGTCCTAGACCAGGTGGGCAGAGGTACTTGAACTTGTTAGGATGGAGCAACGTCAAAAAATTTAATAAGCAAAACATTTTCCTCACTCACAGGTGCCTGTGTGCCACCCTAAAAGCCTTTTTCCTTTCCTACAATGAACGAAGCTGGGTTGGGAATGGGGAGAGGACTCTTTTTCATGTCCTTTGAAGAGGTAGGGTAACCAGAGCCTCATCCTTTGAGTGGCTTCAGAATGCTACAGAGACTAGACTACTGGATATACATCATGACATGGTGAAATTGGTGGGGAGGGGGATGAGCAGGGTGAGCTAATATAGAAGGGATGCATAAACTCCTTCACCAGGGCAACTTGAGCCCTGGGGAGCATGTGTTAGGTGTTATCTATACTCACTTTCACATATGCTAAAACTCATGTTCTGCTGTAGCATGCTACCTACAATGGTGCATACAGTTTATTAAACTTGTACTTTAGGACTTGTCCATGTTCTGTGAGGTGGCCTGGAGGTACAGTGGATGGAAACAAGAATACTTAACTTTAAATCCTACCTCAGACATTGGTACCCTGGGGAAGGTACTTAGTTTCCTCATCTGCAAAATGAGGATAATAATAGCACCCACCTTATAATATTGTTGGGGCAGCTAGGTGGCAGTGGATAGAGAGCTGGGCCTGGAGTCAGGAAAACTCACTTTTATGAGTTCAAATCTAGCCTTAGACGCTTACCATGTTTGCCTCAGTTTCTTCAATCTGTACAATGAGCTGGAGAAGGAAATGGTAAACTACTCTAGTATCTTCGACAAGAAAACCTTAAATGGGGTCACAAAGAGTTGGACATGACTAAAAAATGATTGAATGAAAACATAGTGTTGTTGTGAGGATCAAATGAGTTAACACCCAAAAGGCACTTTGCAGACCTTAAAATCCTATCTAAATGTTAGCTATGATGTTGAATTTTCTGCTCTTATCCTATAGAATACTCTACAGGTAATTTAGGAACGGATATATCTCCTGTCTACCTAAACACAAAAGGAAGGATGTGAGTGGCCAGCCAGGAGCCAACTAGTGATTTATCTTTTGACTTAAATTACCAAAGCATGAAGATTTTTTTTTTTAGGCAACTGGGGTTAAGTGACTTACCCAGGGTTACACAGCTAGTAAGTGTCAAGTGTTTGGTCCGAGGTTGGATTTGAACTCAGGTCCTATCCACTGCACCACCTAGCTGCCCCAAGATTTTTTTTTTTTTTTGCTAATTTTTTTCTTTCAGAGTTTACCAGGACAAAATTCACAACAAAGGAGGCAGCTGTCTCTAATGCAGTGAAGAACCAGCAGCAAAAGATAATTGGGAATGAGATGGATCTGGAGAAAATCCAAGCTGATATCCGAATACTAAGAGTGAGTGGGTTTGTGGACAGGAGAGGGCAGGGGAAACTGTTTTAGCACAGTGAGATGTATAGCTGGTTACTGGACAAGAGGGAATATTGCTGCAGATCTGTTGAGGGGAGTGGGGCCATAGAAGGCTTTGGGGAGGGATTCTGTACCATGAGATCTTCTTCAGGATGGAGGAGACTTGGAAGAGTAGCAGAGGCCTGAGTTTCTACATTCAGTCTGGGAAACACATTAGGGAAAATAGATTGGGCATAATTACAGGCAAAGGACATTGGAGATAAGGAAGGGATAACTATGAGTTGTTTGTCCTTCATTCTTGAAGAGGACCATGACATCAAGGAGGTGATACTGTGAAATGCAAGTGAATTGGATTTAAGTGAGGAAGGGCTATGCAAAGTCATCAGCCTCACTTTCTCCTCTGGAGCCATCTGGGTACAGTGGCAAGATATAAATCAGGATGGCTGATGGCTCTAAGTGCAGTGGGAGACCTTGGCCTTTTTAAGCTAAGATCTTTAACAGGTCTCACTATGACTGAGGCAAAGCTCATTCAGTGATTAAGAGTAGGTAAGAAATGAGGCAAAGAATGGCCTCTTCACCTAGTCAAAAAAAAAATTCATTCTGGAAAGGAAAGACTCTCAGGGTTTTTGGTCAAAACAGAAATAATTGCTATTTACACTCACTCTGAGCCAATCACGGTCCAAACTATGACCAAGTGGGGCTTGGCCTGGGACCTACTGTTGGCCAGTCAGTGAGAGCTGATGGTTTGGCTTTAAGGCTCAGTCCTTAAGAAAAAAAAGTTCCAGGGATCAAAATTTACATTCCTTCATCCAAGAGCAAAGCAGGGCTGAGGAGTCAAGAAACAAACCTGTCATAGAAAAGAAGGAGGTGAGAAGCAGATGGGAAATTTAAGGCCAACTCAGTGGCCCGCTGTCCAATGGGACTTTGCTGACCAGTGGATGGAGGTATGTTCTTGGCTGTTCTCTTGCATGGCTAGGAGAGATCTTTCTCTATCACAATACAATTTCCAGCCAAGACCACAAGGGTGCAGGATAACCACTAGGTAACAATCACTCCCTGTTACCCTCTGGACAAAAATCCAGCCCCAAAGGGTGGATTTTTATAGAGGTTTTTAACCTTTTTGGTATCACAGACTTCTGACCCCTTATCAGAATATTTTTAAATGCATAAAATAAAATACATAGGATGAAAAAGGAAACCAGTTTTACCAAAATATAGTTATCAAAATATTAAAAAAAAAACAAAAATACTTCATGGATTCCAGCTCAAGAACCACTTGTCTAGGAGACAATTAGCCCTAGGAACTCCACTGAGACTGTCTAGGTATCAAATCTCTTTGTTTCCTCTCCTTTCTGACTCCCACAGGCAATGCTTAAGTTCAGGAGGGCCTCACTAGACGAACTTAAAAAGCATGTTACGTCCCTCACTATCAGCAACCAGCAGCTGGCAAAAAAGATCCAGGACATAGAAGCCGTCACTGCAGAGAAAGTGCGGAAGCTTCTACAGCAGCAGGACATGTTTGGGGTGAGAATGAGTGACACTGAGAAACTTCTAATCCTTTGGAACTACTTTCCGAGGTGCCTACCCTTCTCTCCCATCTACACTTTGCAGTGTCACCTGCCATATTTCTGTACCTTTTCCCATCTGCAAAACAGGGACTCTTCTTTCTACTTTAGGGTTATTCTGAGGGTAAAATAATATAATCACCATGATCTCATGTTGAAGATTTTTGCTCTAATATTGTTTCTCTTACAGGTGAAGCAATGGGTGGTAGACTGGGGTCAGGAGAAATCTGGGTTTGAATCCTGTCTCTGACCCTCACTATCTCTGTGAAAATAGGCAAGTCGCAACCTTTATGAGCCTCAGTTTCTTCATGGGTAAAATGGGGATAAAACCTGTGTCTTGGTTTACCTCAAGTCACTGGGCAAGTTTGTTAAGTGATTACTGTGTAATCACTTAATTCTTACTCTCAGGAATTTACATTCCAATGGAGACAACATGTATACGACTATATTGATACAAGATATATACAGAGTAGATGGGAGGTAACTTGAGAGGGAAAGCCAGTAGGAACTAGAAGGACTGGGAATGGTCTTTCTGGAATGGGAGGAATTTGAACTGAGTCTTAAAGAAGTCCCAACACTAGTGATTGTGGTGAAGGGGGCAGAACATTCTAGGCAGAGGGGCACAGCCAGTGAATGTGTGGGTACAGGGATAGGGGATGAAGTGTCAAGGAACTGCAAGTAGACCAGGGTTGCTGAATCATAGAGGAATTTAAGGTGTTATAAGAAGGCTGGAAAGATAGGAAGGGGACAAGTTAGGAAGAGCTTGAAATGCCGGTCAAAGGAGGTGATGTTTGATTTTGATAATAGGGAGCCACTGGAACTCATGAACAAGGGGGAAGGAGAGGGTGACAGGTCTATGCTTTAGAAAAACCCCTTTGGCAGCCGAATGGAGGATGGATTAGAGTAGGCAGAGATTTGAGGCTGGGAGTTCAGTTAGAAGGGTAGCGCAGTAGTTCAGGTGAGAAGCGATAAGGGCCTGAACCAGGGTTGTGGTTGTGAGTAGAGACAAGGGAATATACATGAGAGACACTGTGAAGATGGAAACTATAACATTTGGCAATGGGTTGGACGTTGAGGTGAATGTGAGTGAGGAACTGAGGAGGACACTGAGGTTGTGAGACTGGGTGACTGGGAAAATAGTGGTACCATCAATAGTCATAGAGAGGAGGGAAGGGTTTGGAGGAAAAAATGAGTTTTGTTCTGGACCTGTTGAGTTTAAAATGCCTATGAGACGTCCAATTCAAGATATCCAGAAGGGGGAAGGAAAAAGGAATAAGCATTTATATAGCACCTACTATACGAAGCATTTGTTATAAATATTATCTCATTTGATCCTCACAACAACCCTGCAAGGTCACTGCTATTATTATCCCCATTTTACAGTTGAAGGAACTGAGGCACATGGAGGTTAAATGTCTGAGGCTGGTTGTGAACTTAAGTCTATTCTAACTCCAGGCCCAGTGTTCTATCCACTATGCCACCAGTTGCCTCCCAAAAGGCAGTTGGTGATGTGGCACTGGAGCTCAGGTGAGAGGCCAGGGCTGGACGTATAGATCTGGGAATCATCTGCATAGAGATGATAATTTATCATAGGACCTGATGAGATCACCAAGACAGATATTCTATCACCAAGACAGATATGGAATATCACCAAGATATTCTATAGACAAGAAGAAGGCCCAGGTCACAGCCTTGAGAGATAACCATGGTTAGTAGGTATGAGTGCAGAACCTACAGAGGACACAGAGAAGTGGGGCAGGTGGGAGGAAAGCCGGGAGAGAGCAGTGAGGAGAGTCAGGAAAAAATCAAGAAGGGAAAGTGATCACTAGTGCTACGTGCTTCAGAGAGGCTAAGAAAAATGAGGACTGATAAATGGCCATTATGTTTGGCCATTGAGAGATCACTGGTAACTTTGGAAAAGGCATTTTCAGTTTAATGATGGGTTTAAAAGCTGAATGTAGAAGGTATCTGAGGAGGAGGGGAAAAGCTCTTGACAAAGGTTCTCCATTTTTTTTCGGTGCAGTATGAGGCAAGGTTCTCAGCTGAAAAGCTCAGGGAAGGGGGTCCTCTGGGAGGAAGGTTAAGAAGGCTTGGAATAGCCACTGTGGGGAGCAGGATGGCAAACTGATTAGAGAGGAGGAGAATGTTTGCCTTGTTGCAGTGAGGGCCTAGTTGCGGTCAGATGACATAGCCTGGTTGTGGGACTCTAGTCAGTGCAAGCTCTTGGTTTTCTCCAGCTCATATTCAGCAACACCTGAATAAGAGTAAAGGAGGTGAATGTTAAGAGCAATCTAGGGTTGAGCTTGGCGAGGCGTGATCAGTGATAAGTCAAGGGGGCAAGGGATTTAAGAGTAGAGGCTAGTGTAGAGTTAAGTGGGTTCACCAAGGGAGTCAAGATAGGAGAGAGGGGAGAGTATAGCCGGTGTGAGGGTGGTGGCATAGGAAAGGACTGGAGGGACAGAGAGAATGGACATCAAGTTGAAGTCAAAGAACAGAATTAAGGGTTGTAAGAGAGTGAAAGATGAAATGAGAAGAGATTACGATCAGGTGGAAGAATGCAGGAGCTTGTGGACCAGGAAGCGAAATCCTGCAAGGTGATGATAGCAAGATCAAGAATATGACCATCTTCATATAGAACTGTGGTGGGGTGGAGGAGTAGGTTATGGAAATGGAGGAGGCTGAGAAACTTGGAAGTTAGGGCATTTAAGATGGCATCAATATGTAAAAACCTTATTATGAGAACTGAGAGAGACTAGGTACTGAAGCCATTGAGGAAGGGAGGAGAATATCTTGGGGGCTAGTAGGTAGCAGCCACCAGGATCTGTATTGGGTGATAAATTTGTATAGCACAACCTCAGAGGAGGAGAGGGTGTTGAGTGAAGGTGGTAAAGGAAGAGTCTGGGGTGGCAATAGGGGATAACAGCATATTTTAGCCCTCCGACTACAACCTGTGAGTCTGAGAGAGAAAAAGTAATCAGTACTGGAAAGGATGGCAGGGGAAGCAGTGTCATCATGAAGTAGTCAGGTCTCAGTGAGGGCCACAAGATGGAAGGGTGAGAAAGGAGGAGGTTTAAGATGAAAGAAAGTTTGATTAATGTGGATCAGAAATTCCAAATGGCACTGTGGAAGAGGGGGGCAGATCTAGAAAGCAGGACCTTGGTGGGGAGGGAGTCAAGGTGGCCAGGTGTGAGGGATCACCACTGAGTTGAGAATGTGGGATGGGGCTTCAGAATCCCTGGAATGAGGCGAGTACAAGGGCATGGGTGTGTGCTAGCAATTGAGGAGTGAGTGCAGGTAGAGTAACAATGATTGGAGAGAAGTTCTGTGAAGGAAGCATGGAATTAGATTCTATGGGTCCTCCCTCGAGTTTCAGCTTAGCCCAGATGGTGATCTTTTGTCCTGTGAAGCCCCAGCCCTTCCCCAGAGTAGACAAGAGCAGGTGGAGCTAATGGAAGCTTGGTTAGGAGGCTGTGGTGCTTTACTTGCCTTGGAAGAGGCACTGGGGACAGGGGGTAGAAGAGATGTTGTCCCTAGAGGTGCTGGGTGCTGGATAGATGGTCCTGGGATAGAGTCTGACTGCAGTGGGAGAAAGGTTGCAAACCCCTGGGTGCCAGGCTGGAGGTGGGGAAGCTGCTGGGCACTTGGGCAGAGAGTTCAGCCTGGCACCGGAGAGAAGTTCCTGGATGGAAGAGTTGTGAGGATCAAATGACTTGTTTGTAAGACATTTTGCAAATCTTAAAAGCGTTATATAAATGTCATTATTAATTATTCTATACGAGCACTTTGTATACTGCTTACTGACTTTTACATCCATTGTGTCATTTGATTCTCAAAACAGCCCTGGGTGGTAGATAGGTGGCTATTCTTGTTGTTGAGTTGTGTCCAGCTCATTGTGACCCCATTTGGGGTTTTCTTGGCACGGATACTAGAATGTTTTGCTGTTTGTTTCTCCAGCTCATTTTACAGATGAGGAAACTGAGGCAAACAGGGTTAAGTGACTCACTCAGGGTCACACAACTAGTAAGTGTCTGCGGTCAGATTTGAAGATGAGTCTTCCTGATTCCAGGCCTGGTATTCTGTCCACTGCACCACCTAGCTGCCCTGTGGTAGACAGGACAGGGATTATTTCACCCATTGAAGAAACTGAGGCTTATATTACTGAGTTGCTTGGAGTCACCTAGGGAGCAAGTGACAGAGCTGGGATTGGAAAGAGAGAGAGAGAGAGAGAGAGAGAGAGAGAGAATCTCATTCCGCTTAACCTTAGTGCTGTTGTTCCTCCAGGGTGCCTGTGCTAATACCCTCCCAGCTGAGCAAGCCTCACTAACAACTCACATTAACACAGTCCATCAACCTTCACTCCTCCCGAGAGCTGAAGGCCTGAGTTAGGCTTGGGATAGACTAGGAGCCACCCACTCCCAGCCCCACAGGGGCCTTTATAATCTTTAAACTGAGAGCTTATTGAGGGCAGGCACTGTCTTTTTCCTTTCTTTGTATCCCCAGCATTCAATATTTAGCACAGTGACTATGATAAGGACCTAGCACAGAGTAGGTCCTTAATAAATGTTGACTGACTGACAAGTAAATTTTCCATCCCCACTGTTACATCTATTTGTATTTCTATGTTTAGTGACTATAATAGGTAACTCTTTGTGGATAAGTCAGAAGGCTTCTTTGTCTCCTCTGGGAGAAATTTAGGTGACCCCGGGGTTTAGAGAAATACAAGGTCGAAGAGAAGAGAGGCATTTGAGCTAAAGAGAGAGAAAAAGGCAGAAAAAGTCAAACGTTTCAGTCAGAGAAGTAATTTGTCCTCTGATGAGGACAGACCTCCTGGCAAGCTTTGGGAGTAAGCTTAGCTTGGAGAAAGAAGGGGAAACATGGATTCGTTAGGGAACTAGGAGTAAGGACCCCAGGGTTAGGGTTAGACTGGACAGATTGGATTGAGTTGTTGAAACCAAGGGCACCGGGAAGAGCTAATCCTATGATCCTCTGAGCTAGACAAGGCACACCCTCTGCAGCATTTCTACCACTAACAGCCTTTCAAAGTGAGGTCCTATGTTGAACCAAGCCTCGCCTGCTAAAATACTCAGCCCCAGCAATAGGAACTCTTTGAGTGTCAGTCTGCTTACTGTTCCACTTACAACAGTGTTCCTACAAAATGAATAACAACAATAATAATTATAATAAAAGTTCAAGTTTGCATAAGCACTTTTCTCACAACATCCCTTTGAGTTGGGCAGTGCCAATAGGAGCTATGGTTTTCAGAGAAGGAAACTGAGACACTGAGTGATGAAATGACGTGCCCATGGTCACACAGGTAACCTGTAGTAAACTGCCGAACCATCAGAACTCAAACCCAAGTCTTCTGCAAAGGACATACCTTTCCCCTCCACCCTCACAGGCATGGGTAACATTTCTCCTAACAGCATGTTTTTTTGTTTTAGAAAACTTATTTAGTATTTTATTTTTCCCTAGTTAAATGTAAAAACAGTTTTTAACATTCATCTTTAAAACTTTGAGTCCCAAATTCTGTCCCTTTTTCCCTCCTTCCCCATTGAGACGGTAAGCAATTCTATATAGGTTATACATATGTAGTCATGCAAAACATTTCCATAGTAGTCATGTTGTGAAAGAAAACATAGACCAAAATTTAAAAAAAAAAACCTCAAGAAAAATAAAGTAAAAAGAAGTATGCTTCAATCTGGATTCAGACACCATCACAGTTCTTTCTCTGGGAATGGAGGGCATTTTTCATCATAAGTCCTTCAGAGTTGTCTTGGATCATTATATTACTGAGAATAGCTAAGTCATTCATAGCTGCTCATCTTATAATATTGCTGTTACTTTGAACATAGTACATTTCACTTTGTATCAACTCATGTAAATCTTTCCAGGTTTTTCTGAGAGTACCCTGCTCATCAGTTTTTATAGCACAGTAGTATTCCATCATAATCACATACTACAACTTGTTCAGCCATTCCACAATTGATGGACATCCCCTCAATTTCCAGTTCTTTGCCACCAGAAAAGGGCTGCTTTAAATATTTTTGTACAAATTGGTCCTTTTCCTTTTTGTTTTTTATGTCTTTTGGGATACAGACCTAGTAGTGGTGTTGCTGGATCAAAGGGCAGGCACGGTTTTATAGACCTTTTGGGCATAGTTCTAAATTGCTCTACAAAATGGTTGAATTAATTCACAACTGCACCAGCAGTGCATTAATGTCTCATTTTCCCCATATCCCCTCTACCATTTGTCATTTTCCTTTTCTGTCCTATTAGTCAGTCTAATTAAGTATGAGGTAGTACCTCAGAATTGTTTTAATTTTCATTTCTCCAATCAATAGTGAGTTAAAGCATTTTTTCATATGGCTATAAATACCTTTGATTATATCTTCTGAAAACTGTTCATATCTTTTGATCATTTACCAATTGGGGAATGACTCTTATTTTTATGAATTTGACTCTGTTCTCTGCATGTATGAGAAATGAGGCCTTTATCAGAGAGTTTTGCTTCAAAAAATTTTTTTCCCTACACTAATATCATGTTTTTGTGGAACCATTTGGTGATGTGAGGTGAAGATATACCTATTTCCATATCTGGATACAGTCAGGTCCTGGAGTATTCGTAGAATCATCATAGCTTCTCACTTGGGCGACACCAAAGACACTTCCCAAGTGGCCATCTAGCCTTTTCTGGGACCTGTCCAGGGATTGCCTTACCTGTCAATTGTCTACATCCATGTTGTTGCTACTGCCTACAGTAAATTGACTAATTTTTGCTGCATTTTGACCTGAGTGCTGGATGACTCACGGTGAGGAGGCTCACAGGGGAAAAGTGTTGGCAGAGCCATAGCAATAACTGGCAGGGGGGGGGCAGAGCCTCCTCACCCACACCTGCCTCTGTGTCTGTGCACGCAGACTGTCATTGGCACTCTAGAGGACGCAAACCACAAGCAAATGCAAGAAATGAAGAGCAAGCTAGAGAAGTGGTCGGCACAGGCAAAGGTCAAAGTGAATGGTGAGTGTCCCTGTGGCGGTGGCATACTCTTGGCCTTGTGGCCCTGGGTTGTCTCCTGTGGTCACAGACTCATGTGGTTTTAGGCTAGAAGGGGCATTTGAACCTAGACTGTCAGAGCCAGAAAGAACCTTAAAGCATAGAATTCAATTAGGCAACAAGATATTACGTGCCTACTATGTGCAAAGCAATGTGCTAAGTCCTGCAAACCTAGAATGAATAAGAGAACATAGAATTTTGGAGCCAGAAAGGCCCTTAGGACTTAGAACCCAATGTCAGCTGGAAGGGATGTTTATCTAACTCTCTAACACTTTACATGAGGAAACCGAGGCTCTAAGAGAGAGGTGATTTGCCCAGGGTCACACAGCCTGTTGATGGCAGAGGTGGGACTTGTGCAGGTCTCCTGATTGCTAGTCTAATTTCATATATATTGCCTCATATTATTTTATATGTTTTATCTTCAATAATTAAACATAATTACTGAAAGCAAAGTCTGTGATTTCCATTTTTCTGGTATCCCAAGTGTGAACCCTTTTCTTTCTTTCACCAACATGCCCCAGAACCTGACTTGTTGATGTGACTTTCTTCTGGTTCCTTGCTTCCCTACATGTGCTGTCTGAGATGTACCCAGCACACAAGCTTGGCCTGCAGAAGAGACAGGCTTTTTCTTTCTCCTTGGAAGCCGTGTGGCCTCTGAGATCACTGGTCTTATTCACTGTCCCCTTCCCTGAGCTCCAGGCCCCCATGCTGTTTCTACTCTCTAGATTAATGTTATTCTTATTTCTACTCAGTGCTCTCTGGGGACTCTTTTGCCAAATTTCAAAGAGCAGGCTCTCATCTCATTGATGGGACTGCGTTAAGCAGCAGACACTGGAGCCGTGAGACAGTGGCTTCCTTTTCCTTGGCCTTTGTGGTTCATCTCCCTGTCTCCCTCTGTTCAACTTAACCTGTCTCCTGTTGCTTAAGTTGTTGGCATGTCCCCCTCCCCAGGAGAGTTGCTTAGTACAATCCATGTTTCATAGTTAAATAAAATGGACAACTCTTTCTCCTAGTAAGAGCAGAGTATGATACTACATGGGGACACAACTTTATGTGTGATAGATGCTTGATAGATTTATGTTAACTGAATGCAGTATTGCCTGTACCTTCCTAGGAGGAGAAGCAATAGGAAAGACAGACAAGTTGATTTAGGTGACCCCAGCCTTCTCATGACTAGAAGTTTCAGAAGGATGCTCTCAACAGAGTAGACAGGATTTTTTTTACTCAGACCTGACTATGGTAAGGGAAGAGGGGAGGATCACCTGTGTTGAAGGTCCCCTCTCTACCATAACCCAACTTCCCACTGCAGGGGAACCAAGGAAATAAAAGTTATCTTCTATTAGAATGTAAGCTCCTTGAGGGCAAGGGCTATCTCATTTTTGTTTTTGCATCCCTAGTGCCTAGCATAATGCCTGGTACACAGTAGGAGATTAATTGAAATAATCAATAGGACTGTTCTGAAGCAGAAGAATGGAGTTGGTCTATAAATTATGTCAAGACTCCTGCAGACTACCTTTGCCTGGGAAGGAGGGCTGGTGAGGCCCTGGATCACAGAGCCTATCCATCTCTGCAGTGGAGTTAGCATGACATAGAGGGAAAATCCCTAGATGAGAAATCAGATTCTAGTCTATTCTGCCACCAATTTGCTGTGAGATCTTGGATAAATCATTTAATAGCTTTAGAGAAGTGGGCTTATGGCTGAGGGGTGTGACCTTTGGTGCAGGGAGCTTCCCTTTTTCTTCTCTCCCTCCTTCCCCCAACCTTCACTAGACCTGGAGCAGCAGCTGACAAAAGTGAAAACGAACATTCGTAAGGCCCAAGATGAACTGAATTTCCTGACCACCTACATGGACCAGGAGTATCCAGTTAAGTCTGTGCAGATTGCCGACCTCATGCGTCAGATCCAGGAGATGAAAAATAGCAATGAGGTAAGGGTTCTCCTGCCTCTTTGTTCTAGGTGCCTCCCCAAGGGAGGCCCCAGGGCCAGGAAGTGATTTTTTTCTCTTGGCCACCAGGATGAACTAGAGGAGTTGCAGGAGATATGCAAGGATGTGCTTCAGACATTGTCAAAGAAGCTGATGGTGAAGACAGAGAAAATCTTATATGTCATGGCCAAGGTGAGCAGTAGGTCCTATGGACCTTCTGAAGACCCCACCCATTGGTGGGAGTGTGACTGGGAGGCACTAAGGCCTCTTTTTCCCTCCCCACCTCTCTGCATTAGAGAGGTGCCTGCTGCTTGTGGGAGGGGCCTTTAGTTGCCACCTGTTTTGCATCTGGCTGATCTCTCCCACCTCCACAGAGAACCATCCTTCCCTATCAGGCTGCTCTTATGAGGAAGACTCTAAGTAACCAGCGACTCTTGAAGCAGATAGTCCAATTCAGAGTGGTGAGTGAGACCCCAGAGAAAACAGGGATTAGGAGCGGGCAGTCAGACACCAATGACTTCAGCTCGAGGCTGAGGGCTATAGAGCGAATAAGCCTAGAAGGTCTACTGGAAATATAGAAATGGAAGCATTCTCTTGACTGTCCTCTTTTGATTAGGATATTTGAAGGATTTGGGGCAGTACTTGGGACCTCAGGAAACAATCCTGCCCGGACCTCTGGTGATGTGAACGACTGACTAGCTTGGGGCCTTCTTCATCACTCTAACCCCCAGTAAATGATAAAAAACACTTGTTTGGGGAGTGTGTTGAGAGACTCTTCATTAAAGCTCACCATCCATCATCACCCTCTTGACCATCACCATCCATGACCACCTGGGAATTCTTCTACCTTCTTGCCCTGAGGGAGGTCACGCTGTCAGGAATACAGACTGATAGTGACAGCCCATTTTCAAAAATTTCTTTGTTTCTACTTTTTTTTTTTTAAACTTCCTTTCTCCGGGATACCTGAATCTCTCCTCTGGAAAGGAGACAATCAACTTTCTACTCCTTTCCTCCCACTTCTCTGCCCCTTCAGCACATTGACCGTATGAAGAAGGAACTTCCCAGGCTAAAGGGCCAGGTACGGGACCTCCAGATGCAGAGGAAGGACCCACGGGAGGTGGTCTTTGCCAGTGTCCTGCTTCGGAAACCCAAGTATGTGCTGTAAACAGGTTGCCTGGGATACACTTGCTCTGGGACCCTGACCCAGTAGTGGGAATCCCTTCACTATGCTGAGGAGGTAGTGGGACAGAGGGGCAGGACCGCTGGAAAGGAAATCAAGACTCTTGGGATTTATTCTTAGCTCTTCCACTAACTGGTTGAGTGATCTCGAGGAAGAAGAAAGTGAGAAGCCCAAAGAGGCGAGTGGGTGGATTAGTTGTTTTTAGAAGAAGCAGCATCCCTTTGCTCTTTTCAAATGTTACACTTTATCCATCCCATTTGTTGGGCCTTGGAGAATGGAAAAGTTTCGGTAGGTGGAGTAGGGAAGAGAAGGAGCTCATACCAAGCCTAAGAGAGAACATAGCAAAATGCCTAAGTACAGGAAAAAGGCAGGATTGGATTGGAGGAGATTGGGAGGCCATTCCATGGGGACTCAGGAACCTGATAGTGTTCAAGTTCTTCCACTGACAGCACCATGCTCCTCATGGCCTCATGGGCATCATACCTAAATATTGTTCCTGTCCTAGGACAGCAAACCTAGCAAGTCACTTTCCCCAAGATTTTAGATTTAGATTTTTTTAAGCCATTGCTCCATTTGTGGAGAAATTTGGTGTGGGGGTTTGGGTTTTCTTTGTTGTTGTTGTTGTTGTTGGATAACTCTTGGAGTGGGTTTAGCCTTTGGGGATGGGGCTTCTCTGTTGTCCCACTACATCCTTGGTACCAGCCTTCTTTGAAGGAAGGGCTGAGAAGGCCCCTTACCCACGTGGCCCCACCTGCCCATCCTCCTGAGACCTCTATCTGTGGGAGCTTTGTTCTAGAGATAACCACTCACTGTAATGTGCTTAATCTTTCTCCTTCCTCCCTCGGCCTTCCACCAGGTGTACTCCAGACATGGATGTCATCCTCAATATCCCTGAGGAAGAAATTCTTCCCTTTTAGCCCTGGCACAGGATAGGACTCTACCCTGGCTGGTCATGTCCGACATCCCTTGTCTTTCTCCCAATCATCGTTGTTCTCCATCCTGGGAGCTATGTTCCCAGCTTCATGTAGGACATCTTAGTCCATTTAGAGGAGTTTTCAGCAACTTCTTCACCCTCTGATTTTTACCTCTTTTTCACTTGATGCCACACTTTCCTTTTAACTAATAAAATTAGATTTTCATTTGGTCAGCATGTGATTTACAACTGTCAGGGGGAGGGGGTGTTCTGGGGTGGCCACAATAGCTGTTCTGACTTCTCTGCCTCTCTGTTGGTTGTGGGCTCTGAGATCCTAAGCTCATTTTCAGGTCTTTGAGGCGAGGGATTGGTGTCCAGCGACGAAGGGCCACCAACAGACTAAAGGGGACGTGATCCTCTCCCTGCGTGTCAGATAGACTTAGTAGCTCTCTTTGGTGGGGTGCACTGTTCCATTTCTACTTGGACAACTCGGTGTTATAGAAAGTAGATTTGAAATTAAGAGATCTAGGTTCAAATGGCAGCATAGCACTTTACTGCTTGTGTGGCTTTAGGTAAGTAACTTCACCTTAGTTTCTTTGTCATCTGTGCATCTCCTCCAGCACTGGAACTTCAGCCTCTCCCTGGCATAACCAGGTACAAAACCAGTCCCTGTGGTGCCCATTGTCAGACGGACAAGGGAGAAGTTCAAGGAAGCTGACTTCAGTGATCTGTTTAAGATTGTTGTCTAAGGCTAGTGTTTCCTAACTCTTTTCAACCTGTTACCCATCTGGGATCGTTTTATGCCATCTTCTAGGGTCCAGACAGCCATCTGTTCATTCACAGCCCTTGTCTCAATTCCATCTGTATGGCATCTACACGTAGCTATGTACACAAATACAAACAATACTAGAGAACCACTCAGAGACACTCAAGTTTTATAATCTTCATTACAGAGCATGTGTTTCAGTGACGTACTTTTTTTTTTTTTTTTGGTGAGGCAATTGGGATTAAGTGACTTGCCGAGGGTCACACAGCTAATAAGTGTCAAGGCAAGATTTGGGCTCAGGTCCTCCTGACTCTAGGGCCATTGCTTTACCCACTGCACCACCTGGCTTCCCCCTCAGTGGCATACTTTGTTAGAAACTTCATTACCAGTGGTAGACGTAACTCTGGAAGGGACGTGGAGACCTTCCTAGATATAGATTCTTTTTGTGTACTCTCCAATTAAGATAATAACTTTTAAGATAATTCAGGGCCCTGATACTGGTTCAGCTATTCCCTCTATACTTTAGTCTTGATGAGTTAGTTTGGCCACAAAAAAAAAAAGTTCATCACTTGGTGGACAGCTTTTCTGATGATGAGCTTCAGACACAGGCCCTTTTGGGACCTGTGTTCTAAGTCCTGTCAGCCCCACTGAAATCCTCTGATGCTTCATCAGGACAGAGCCCAGGGTCTGTCGGGTCCTTCTGGTACAGTAAAGAGCAGTTATTCTCGGCATTATTGTTAACATCTAGAGAGGGCTTTAAGGTTTAGAAAATGCTTTCCTGAGGCCCCTTGGCCTGCAAGAGGTAGAGATGGTATTTCTGTGCCCTGTGAGACTAAACATAGCAGCAGCCTTGGCTGTGAGACTTCTGTGCACCTTGCTGATCAGTTCTTTTGAGTCATGAGATTGCATTCTTCCCCTCGGCTCTGGGATACGGTTTCTACTGCCGTTGACCTAGTGTTGACTCTGGAACTTTCCTTGATCCTCTTCATACCCTGTTTTCCTTTGGGATTTGTTAACCAAGGTAAAATGATACCCATACACATAAACATATACGTGCTCAGACACTCATGCACTTGAACTATCTAGCCTTTTCAACAAAAAGAGGATGGATACCTGCCATTACCTCTTGCGTATTTTATTCCCTAGTTCCAAATTGGCAAAGGGAGTGAGAAAACCCAGAGGGGCATGACTGCCTTCCCTCCCCCTCACCTCATATATCTTTTCAGTGCTCTAAATGTGCTGTTTGAGAAATGGGTTCTGCCTTTGTTTATTTTTAGGTCTTATTTAGATTTTGGATATCACAAGTAATGAGTGAATTTAAAATTGAATTCTTTAAACATTTTTTAGGAACTTGAAAAGATAAGTATATTGCTTATATGTGGATATTACTCACATGGTGTTGGCAAGCTGTTGGTACAATGATTATACTATTTGTGGCGGTGTAAGTATGCAGGTGATGTGTAGATGTTTCCTCCAGACCAATGGTTTCTTGGCATATCTTCTTGGCTTCTGGTCTGCTTGTCTCTCAAGGCATAGTCAGTTTCAGGTCACTTGAGTCCCAAGTTCAATAATCTCTGGTCAAATGACTTTGGCCACCATGGAGATGAGTTGTTATAATCCTTCTGGAGGCCAACACCCATTTGCTCTTTTCAAATGTTGCACTTTATCTATTCCATTTGTTGACTGTTCATGCCATGTCTTTGGAATATCCTTAGTAGATAATATTTAGTAGGTCAGTTGAATCACTCCTAGTGATAGGTTCTAGCTAATCAAACAATAGAGTGCAGTGAGTGCCTTTGTGGGATTCCCCTGTTGGCCAAATTAAATATTTGAGTGTTCCAAGCACAGCAGCAGCAAAAATGTTAGAAATTTAGTGTATTACAGAAGAGTTCTCTTTATCCACCAGTTAAGGGTTTTCAAGTAGTAAGTGAGGGGCTGCCCTCAGCTTCATTTCCTGCATTTACCCCAGGGAAGAAGAATGAAAAATAAAAGTAATCCAATCCAACAAGCATTTGTTAAGCACCTACTGTGTGCCTGACCTTGTGCTGGGGACCTGTGGATACAAAGGCAAAATTAAGACTGGCCCCATCCTTACTTTTGGGATACAACATGTAATCTGATAGCAAACATGATAATATGAGGTGGAGACAGTGCTGACAAGAGGGATCAGGAAAGGTTTCCTGTAGGAGGTAGATCATGAATAGAGACTTAAATGAGGTGAAGGATCCTAAAAAATGATGGAGAGGAAGGAGAGCATTCTGGGCATGGGGGACAGCATATGCACAGGCATTGGGGACAGGAGATGGGATGTCAAATTTTGGGGGAATAGTAAATAGTCCAGTTTTAGTAGAAATGTAGAGTTCCTGAAGAGGACTACAACTGAATAAATTCGTCAAGGTAGACTAGAATTGGATTGTGAAGGACTTTAAGTGTAAAATAGAATAACGTGTTTTATCCTAGAGGTAATAGGGATCCCCTGAAGATTCTTCAGCAGAGAAGTGACACAGTCAGATTGCTTTAAGATCATTTGGCAGGGGTGGGAGGTGGAGGATAGATTGGAGAGGGGAGAGACCAGAAGCCTGGAGTTTAATTAGGAGTTGACTGCAACAGTCTAGGTCAGACCTACACAGCTTGGCAGTAGGTAGGGGCCAAAATTAAAATAGATTAAACTTCTTCAGAGCACAGATAGATTTTTAGCAGCTCACTTTCCAAGTAAAGGTATAATTAATGATTACACTATTTTTGCAATTAAAACATATTAAAAATAAATTTCAATAAATATCAATTAATTATACTTATTATTTAAGTTTTTTTATCATGAAATCAAATTAATGTTAAAAATTCCTTTGCTAAGTGGCACAAATTTTAATTTAAATATTTTTCAGGTTTTCTTCCTGTTTATAGTTAATGGGATGTATTACACTTCTTGTCAGCAGTTTATCAAACTCTGGAATCATGTTTGCAATTGATTTTTTTAGAAATCTGAAAATTAACCTCAGTAGCTGCTTCATTTTCTGAGTTTACTTTCTTGAAAAACTGTTGTTCCCCCCTGAGATCTTTCAGCAATTTAGACTCTTTAATTTGCTTTTCATTGGTATCCAGTTTGATAAGTCAGGATGTTTTGATTCAAAATGATGATGAAAATTGTATTCCTTCAGAACAGCTATTACTTCTTGGCAAACAAGGCACAATATTTTGTCTCTCATGAAAGTAAACAAGTATCTGTTTGTCCACTCCAGATTAAACACTTTATGTTCTGATTCGATCTTCCATTTCTTTTTATCATCCATTTTATAAAGTCACCCCCAAAACTTTAATGTTAGAACCAAAAAATCTCCACAGCAACTGCTCACATATGAAGAAATACTGAACTGAGTGTCTGACCTCCGAGAGCGCCAGACACTCTTGTAATTTGAAGGACAACGGAGTCGTGAGGGAGCGGAAGAAGCTCTCGCGTTGTTGGCACTCATTGCACAGTGGTGGTGTCATTGCATTGACATGTGGCTGCACTCGCTTTGTCCCTGTTCAACGCCAGTAACGACTGAAAACACATCGAAAAGATATGACTTTGGCTCCTCTCAGACTAGAGACAGACTGATGACGGTTGGTTGCCGAGGCTCACGTGATAAACAGAGAGCGTGCACAGTGGCAACCCACCCACCAAGTTACATGATGAGCACAATGGTGACTAATGGTGGCAGGTTAAGTGGGACACTGACAAAGCATTCATTACATCTTTACTTTCTTTTACATCCTCTGCATTTTTTGTGGGCCACCTGAAATCCTTTGGCAGCCCATGGGCCGTATGTTGTATAGCCCTAGTCTAGAAGAAAAGTGTCAAGGGTTGAACTAGGGTGATGGCTGTGTGAGTCGAGGTTAGGAGATAGACAAGACTTTGCACCTGATTGGATTGGGGAGAGACAGAAAAGTCAAGAATGACTCAGAGGTTGCAAACGTGGGTGACCGGAAGGATGGTTGTACCCTCAACAGAAATAAGAAAGTTTGGAGGAAGGGAGGATTTAGGAAGGAAGGTAATGAGTTGTGTATTGGACACATGGCTTCTGAGCTCCTATAATACATGCAGGGGTAGATGGTGATTCACCTGGCAATTGTTGATATAGTACTGGAGTTGAGAGATATTAGAGCTTGATATGTAGATCTGTATATAGAACCCAGGAGAGCTATTGAGATCACTGGGCATATAAAGAGACGAGGGCCTGTGTTAGTGTCTTAGAGCAGCACTTCTTAAACTGTGGATCGAGCCCCATATGGGGTTGGAAAACTGAATGTGGGGGTTGTGAAAAATTTGGCAACAGTGAAAAGTTTCTGAACATGCGATAACCAAAAATTGATTTGAAATCAAATGTGTAATGAATCCGAGGTGTTTCTGGCAGTGCTTGCCCATGTTGCATCATGCAACTTCACTGCAACCTTAGTTCTGAATACAAAGCATGCATCCTTTGCACTGTGCATGCCATCATGCCATGCAACAACAATGAATGCTTCCAAAACACCTCAGTTCAGATTCAAGACTATTGTGTGTTATGAATTGCAGTGTTTTTACTGTACATACAAAATCATTAAATGAATTTTGGCTTGGGATTGAGACAGAATTTCCAACAATTTCTGAAATGTCCCTAAACATACTTCTGCCGTTTTGTACGTACATTTATGCGAAGCGACATTCTCAACATTAACGATTATAAAATCAAAATGTCGATCAACTCTGAAAAACATTGAAGATGCTCTATATCCTGCAGTATCAAATATTCCACCAAGATTTAATTCTTTATGTAAAAATAAATAAGCATATCCATCTCATTAATATGCAAATTTGCCTTCATCTTTAATAAATGGTAAAATTATATGTATGCCAAAGAACTGTTTTAAAATAAGTTTCTTTATGATTTATTACCAGTAAATGTTTGATTTGTATACCTGGTTTATGTACCTATATACCAGGGTCATGTAAAAATTTCTCAGGCAAAAAGGTGTCATG